TTTTAAATCATTCACGTACAATAAAAATTTAAAAAGGGTCCCAGGTGTGAACCTTGGGAAACACCTGAATATACAAATACAGCATTAGAGTAAGCGTTATTAAATTTAAATAAAAATTAAATATTACCAACGTTCCAAGTTGTAGGAACGTTCGTCTTCGATTTTGAACGATAGCTCGAAACAAGGAATCGTTGAAGGTGTCGTATTCTCGGAACCGTTTCTGCACATCGTTATTTCTCGTTCAGTTATTTACCGATAAGATTTCTCGGGACCGTTTCCCCGCGTCTCATCGCGAAACGAGGATCGTGACAGAAATTGCTTCGTCCGAGTCGAACGATGACAAATGTCTGTCAGCAGGAAAGACTGGAAAACTCATTAACCGGAGCAGTCGGTTGATGACTCCCCGGTATACTATCACTATTATCGAAACCGTTCGAGTTAACTGCGCTCAAGAGCGTCCTAGGTGTCGACCTATTCTGTACACAAGCATAACTACTTCCTCTCGGTCTTTTGTTTCCTGGAGCTGTTTCCTTCGTCGCTCTGCCGCCCACCGCCCGGCCGCCATCTCGTTCCTTCCATCAATCATTTCAGTTTTGCGCAAGATTCGCCCCATTATGCTCGAGTTTCTGTCCTCGGCTGTCGTGCGCCCTCCTTCCGGTCGGATTCGATCCTCGATGACTCGCGACTCGCGAGCTATCTCACCAAGCGTGCATTTCGTTCGATGAATCCTCCAACGTACCAAACCGGAAACGAGGAATTACGCCGTGCGTTCCAACGGTTATTATCAGACGTCGAAATTGATATTTTTAAAGTTACGATACGAGAATCAGAAACACGTTGACATCATTCTCGAGTAACTGTTACAGTAGTTGTTATTAAAGACGCAATCAGCGAAACGTTCATGAACCGTGGCCTAATCGTTCCTACGTCGAGCCATTGCTTTAAACGACGACGTCGGTCTGGAATAGACTCTAACGGGGATAATTTCGTGTAAAAAGCCATTATGTGCCGGTATTCGTTACCGGTTAGAAAATGTATTCCTTTTCAGGGTCGAGACGGGCGATTAAAGTTCCGCCACGCTCCATCGTTGCGGGATATCACGCGAGCGAGGAAATGTGTTTACGGAGGGATTATTAAATAAATTGGAAGGAAAGACGTATTGGCGAAAATGATCGTTCCGCGAAATTGTTCACGCCGCGAACGTGAGAATGCTGTACAATGCGCATTATTTCGAATAATGTAGAAACAAAACATTAAAATAGAAATTGAAAAATAGGAGGACTGAAAAGTTATTTACGTTGCGTGATACTTGTTCATAGCAATAATGCTAGCATTGACACGACGAGTCTGACTCGTTACGAGTTATTGATGACAAATTTCACAATATATTTTTTTTTCGTGACCATTCCTTGTACGAGAAAATCTAAACAAAATTAGATAGTACAATTATTTGGAATTAAATCGTATCGTCGAAGCTAGTTCTTTCAATGTGTGTTCGAGTGACCTTTAACAGAATTTCTTTACGCGATAGTCCGGAGAAGCAATGCGTGGCGGCAGGGTTAAAGTCTAGGAAGAAAAGCTACCGCGGTAAACGTTTTAAGCCGCTCGGAACGGTTTCCGGTTCTAAAGTCAACGTTCTTCCGTAACGAGTTCATTGGCGATTTTCCACAGGATCGAGCTCGTTCCCGAGGATTTGTTAAGATTTTCCGCGTAAAACGAAACAGAGGATACCGCGCTAAATGCTCGAACGTCCAAGGAATAAAGACCGGCTTAGGGCGAATACGTTTTTAATGTTCCGCGGTCGTCGTAAAGTTAATATCGGACCGCGTATCCGGCCAAATGGGCTGCGAACGCCGTGAGATAAGTGTAAATATTTTTGAATCCAGGCTCGGTGGCGAATTACGTGCTGTTTAGCCGGTTGACTCGGCCCGATACGTGTTCATAAAATATCGGAAACATTTTAATAGCGGAAACGCACGGTCATCGGGGCTCGCCTTGATGTATTTGCGTTCGAAAATCGAAGCTCCGGGATTACCGCTTCGATAAGTCTTCTATATGACGCCGACGTGAAACCGTCATACGAGCGCATAATAAATATTTACCAAACGTTTCATCGGGGGTACGCGGCTCGATTCATTTTGTAACGCTCACCGATTCGATGTAAAAACACGGGACTTTGGCTTTTTCGAAACCTCTGTCGCGTCCTTCGCGTCTGGCTGGACGCTGCCGCGGGAGAATCGCAATTTAAACGAGCGATATTTATTACAGATGTCAGGAAAAATATATCGCGTGTTTTAAAAGTGTTTAGCATGCCGTTAGCGCGATGATTTAAAAGATCGTGCATGGCCGGTGATATACCTCTCTGTTGTAATTTATTATTCATTTATTCGTTTTACTTATCGTCGTTATTGCGTCGGTAGAAAACAAGGGAGGGGGGGGGAAAAATATTTACCACACTGATTGTGCCATGACGAATAGGCGAGATGTCAACGCGTTGGAAAAATCATAGAATATTTTTATTTACAATATTGTTCTGCCTTTATTTATTTGTTTATGGGTTTGTACACCCTTTGATATAATAGAGTTGCATAATATGTGTAAAAGTCTCGTTAATTGCGTATGTTATGAGATGCGTACGAGGCTAGTGACATGCTGTTTGGAGGAATACAAAGAACTGCTAAAGAAATCCAGACGCTGGCTGAACTGGTTAGCTTGGGCGGGAATACGATTAACACAATTATTATATAGTATGGTATAATGTCGTTTAAATGTTGGAATATGGAATAATTCCATATTTCGAGTAATTATCGCCAGGACATTAAATTTAATTAATTGTAAAATTTCGGGATAATTTACATAGTTATTGATGATTGTATAAACAAATAACATACCGTATACAGGGTGTTACTGGACGGATGGTACCATCGGGTAGTGGGTGATTCTACGTACAAAAATAAGTTGAAAAAAAGAAATAAAATTTGTTCATTTGAAGCTTCGTTTACGAGAGAATTGAATTTGAAGATGTGTTGATAATACATACGTTTATTATTATTCGGTATGAAGAACCGTTATATCAAAATTTACAGACCTTTTACGACCACCAGATTTATGGTAATTATGAAATTGCACCGCACTCGATTAATCTCTGCTTTGTTTTCTGTATCACCCTTTTGTTTGATTGGCAACAATTTCGATATCACCATACCAATAAATTCACGATTACTGTAGCGGGGCATGGTTACAATTCGACTGATAGAAACAGACAAACGATCAAAGTAACCGGTTGTCGTACTACTGTAGACGGAATGTAAACATTACAGAGGACAACGAATGGGAAAGTGTAAACGAAAATGATCATGCTACGCGAGGGCTTGAAACAATTTTCAAATTCGATTTTCTCTTACACGAAACTTCATACGGAAAAATGTTGTTCCTTATTTCGACTTATTTTCGTACGTACAATCACCCATTGTTCGATACTACCAACCGTTCGGTAACACCCTGTATGTTTAATCTAAGCCAACTACTATTTTCCTGTAATGTATAATTTTGTATCGATAAGTGTGTGTATCGATATGATCTAAATGTGGATGTACAGGGTGTTCGGCCATCTCTGGGAAAAATTTTTATCGAAGATTCTAGAGGCCAAAATAAGACGAAAAACAAGAATACCAATTTGTTGATGGAGGCTTCGTTAAGAAATTATCAACGTTTAAAGTTCCGCCCGTACTGAATTTTTTTCTTGAAAATGCGCACGATTTCGGTGGTATGTCTATTCACCAAAAATGATTGTAATTGACCCCCGAAACCGAAAATAATTTTTTTAAAACGATTTGAAAAATGTTTCTTCGCCGAAATATTTCAACATCTAACCAAATTTTTTTCTCGAAAATGGGTAGGATTTTGGGGGTATATATATTCACCAAAAGTGATTGTAATTGAACCCCGCAACCAAAAATAATTTTTTTTAAATGATTCAACAAATTTTTTTATCGCCGAAAAATTTCAGCACCTACTCAAATTTTTTTTTCGAAAATGGGTAGGAATTTGAGGGTATGTCTATTCACCAAAACAGATTGTAATTGACCCCCGCAACCAAAAATAATTTTTTTAGAATGACTTGAAATTTTTTAATTTCATTTTTTAATAACTTTTTAACGAAGCCTCAGTTAAGAAATTGATATTCTTGATTTTCGCTTTATTTTGACCTCTAGAATCTCCTATTAAAATTTTTCCTACGTAGTGTATAATACTACGTTGTTCAAGCGTGAGAAACCTTAATCCCAACAAAATTCTATCATAGTGATGACAAGTGACTGGGTCTGCCCAGCTTATTGGAGACGATGTGTAGGAATTTTTAGTTGAACCAGAGCTATTTCCTGTCCTAGTTTCTAAAATCCTGAATTTTAACGAGGCTTCGCTGTATTAATTAGTAGGGTAGAGATAGTGTAATTTGTGTTACTCGCAACCTGTTAACCAAAACGACGCTCAACAAGCATAATGTGACCTCGACGATCATCATTCTTCCGTGATCCTATGTCGAGCTGGAAATGATATTTCGAAAATACCCCTTCTCTCGTGATATCGTAAATCGATCGAACTATCTTGGAAAAGGTAACGAACGACGAACAAATTTTGATCCCGAAGAATGAGCCGCGCAGACGCTTTACGGGGCCTTTGTAGAAATTTCAGTTGTTCTTCTCGTCTCGATAAAACCGATATCCGTCGTCGCGATAAGTTTTCGGAGAAGGTTCCCACAGGCGTTATTAGTTTTCTTAGACAATGCCGCGTTAAATTCGTTCCCCGCCTCGACGCGTCGCGTCACGAGACGCTTTAATTAATTTTTCTTCCATGCATCGGTCCGCGAGACCCGACGTTCGAGTTCTTGCACTCGAACCGATAACAGAGCAACGGAAGAAGGCACGTTGGCGAGCATAAAAGAGGAAAAATCGGTCGTTGAGCGATGGCTCCCGATAAAAAGTAACAAACTCGAAACTCACCTCCGAGCGGATCGGGTTTCCTCCGTGTTGCGTGGCTAGTGTGCACGGGGATCGCCTTTGACGCGAAAAAGGAAGACAATCACACGAAACTAAAGTAGAAACGGTTAACACTTGGCTCGGTTGCGCTCGGGTGGACGCGATTCCTAGGCCTCCCCGAGGCGCATCTATTATTTATCACTCCCGAGGTACTCTCGCGGCCACTCCTCGCGGCCAATCGATCTCGTCGATGTCGTAATCTGCACGCACATTCACAGACCGTTCTGACCGAAAATACATATATATTCTCAAAACGAGAACAACGTTCCCGAAGGGCTGGTCGCGTGCACCAGGAAGCGACCACGGGCCTCCTCCGCGTAACTTCTCCCCTTCTAATTACGGCTCGAACGCGAACGGACCGAAAGAGAGAGACCTTCGATCCCCGATCGATCCTGGATCGCCGCGATTCACGAAGTATCGCGTCCCAGCGAAGCGACTCAGCGCGCGCTTCGGTTTCGTCGAATCGTTCTGCTCCTTTTCTCCGCCCTTCGATACGTCACGCACAAGCTTTCGACCGCGTATTTATCGCCGATCGGCGGATCGATGCCGCGGATCTCCAACTTGGAGTGGCGCTTTCGAACATCCGGGCATGATGCACCGGCGGGCTGCAACACTCGTCTGGAAATTCACCGAGTCGAGTGTTCTCCAGGCGCGATGATCGTCCGACGCGTAACGGGGCTCTCCAAAGTACTTTTCTCGACGCACGACACTCCACTGTCACCAGAGAATCACACGACCCGCGACGACGAACGTTCCCGCGACACTGGTCCCGTGTCCTTTCGTCGAATCGTGGAAACGAACGAGCGAGCACCGGGTCCGCGATACCTGGGAGAACCGTTCTCGGAAAACGCGCGACGCCCGCGGTGAAAAACTTGGCGCGTCTCGCGGTGTAAACAGAGCGCCACGGGCAGGGATTTTACAGTCTGTTTACAGAGTCTGGGCGACGTCCTCCAACAACTTTCGAACCCCGAGGACGGTCCCGTGACCTGTTCTGCACGCTTCGAGGGCCGCGAGGCTGAATCGTTGCCAATCCACCGTTGCCCCTGATCACGATCGTGCGTAATTGCTCGACGATGGGACCCGTACGGTTCATCTTCCCATTATTTCCCCTTCAGGCATCCTCGACGATCTCTGCACGCTGTCGGTGCACGCGTTCGCCGGACGACCCGATCGTCGAGCGATCATGTCACGGCGCGACCGACGATCGTCACGTTGCACAGGTATCGTTACGCAGAAGACGCGGCGAAGAGGTACGCGGAATCGCGAGGACGGAATCTTTCCTGTTTCCTTGAAATATAGTCGCACCTTGGCGGGGGATGCGCGCGCGAAACCACCACGAGTGATGCTGGGCTCGGACTGGAGCCTCCGGCGCGGCGCTAGCGTCGCGACGACTCGGGCCGAAGCAAAATCGTCACCCCCGCGCCCTGTCCACCACCCATGCTCGGCCACGGGGTGGAAACAGTGGCGGAGACTGGGGGTTAGTCACCCTACGCCCTGGGATTTTCAGCTTTTCTTTTATGACGTAGAGAACCTGCTCCATTCAGTATTAGTTTGTTTCTCTTTTTCAGGACCTTGTTCTTTTATTGGAGGTCGCGAGCCAGCGGAACTGATACGTTTACACGCGGGATCGAAACTGGTATCGATTCTATTCCGTACCTGTGGCAGCTTGAACATTTATTTTCATTTCATTTATTTGATAAACACTCCATTAGTGTACGAAGTAGAACATTATAATGTAGGATTCAGCAAACAGAATTTGGTACAAATGTACAAATAATAGAATTATATAAACGAATTTGTAGCACACCAAGCACACAATCTTCTTACAGAAATTGATAATTAGCAACAGAAATTAATATCGTATAAGAATCACGTCTGCCTTTCACAACCACTCGTTTCGTTCTCCCTGTTGACTCGTTGCCTCTGGTTACTCATTCCTTCTTGAACTAAATACTTTCAACCCTTTTGCACATTAATTAATATTAAAAAAAACTACAGCACGGCACAAATATTCAATACAAATCTACAATAATCAAAGTAAGGTTTTTTGCTTTTTTTTTAGCAATGCATATAGATCGACAATACAATTAGTAGTATGAATATCAAAATTGTCCTGAGAATAATATAATTACATTTGTACTGGAAATTTTGTATATCATAACGATTTTTTCTTTACTTCATAACGATTGAGTAAAAGAATTTAGTATAAGTAAAAAGTGATTGTCAATGTATTGGGTTGGCCAAATATTTCATAGGGATTTTGACGATATTTATCTTCGAGCGCTGCGAAACGCAACTAACGTCAATTCAAATCTTAAGAGGATATAATTAATTGATAGTTAACATTTAATTGTATATTGTCACGAAAAAGTTTAAGGATTGGATTTTTCTTATAATTTTCGCATAATTTTACAGACGAACAATCAAATGGAGCATTTTCGACGTACTATGCTGTTGCATTTTGAAAAACAAACAAACGAAGCGCAAACCTGTGCAAATTTATATAAAATATCATCAAAAAACGAATCGAAAGTAGTTTTTGTAAAATCCCCTCAATAGATGAAACTTCGATTCCTAAGAGATCACTCAATAGCGACTGTTTAGCTTTTTAATATTTATTATCGAACGAAGATATTTCCTACCATAATAAAATTACCTGTTTGCATGTTTGGAACCATACAAACTTTCTGGCCATCCTCATACTTCATTAAAAAGTTCTTTGATAGCTGCCTGTATCGATTAGGTGCTCAACAGTTCCCAGGCAGGACGCAATAAGTCTTTCCTTAATTTAGATTTTGTTATATCGTTCCATCTTGCGTCGAAATGGAATGTAAATCGCACGAATAGCAATCTCGCCGAGTTAAAGTACAAATTTAAAGCAAACGGTAACGTAAATAAAGGTTACGGATCGCGAGAACCGAATACATATGTATACGGATCTTCTTACTTTCCAGCTCTGGCGATATAAACCATTCGGAGTTTATTGTAAAATCTTGGAGGTTCTTAAGGTTCCAGGACTTGACCGCAGAAGTATAAGTAAGCTAGAACTAAACCAACTTTCCGCCGCAGAGTTCAACTTAAAATTAAAGTTTAAAGACTTATAACTTCGTAACGCGCCGCTTCTTGATCCCGTGGGCGAGGATAGTTAACTCGACGGCCTCTATCTCGAAAATTTAGGAAACTGACGGCATACGCAGCGACGCTGTTACAGGTTACAACGATACGTAATAAATTTTAGGAAATTGAGTAATTAAATGCAGCTGCATGGACGTTAAGTCGAATCAATAATTCGCGAAATATTGATCGTTAAATAGATCGATCGTTTACGATACATTAGTCAGACGCAAGCATTGCTAATACTTGGTCAAGATATTTCTGTGACTCGTAAAAGAATTTTCTTTCGGAGGAAAAGGTGATAATTGACGCGAGGGTTGAGGTGTTGTAAAATGTCAACTTATAGTATCCTTTTGGTGTCCAAGATTGCCAGCTTAAGGGCAGAAATGCGACAAAAGTTCAGTCATTAGGTATGCTATGTTATCGGCCCAATAAAACTTTCCTTCCGCGGCTGTAAAATGTTCACTGCGGACAAAGGATGCGAGTCTTCCTCGAAGTGGTGATCAAAGTTATCGGCGGGATCAATAGGGTTACGACATTCTGTGTGTTACGACGCGTTTCGCGTACGATTTAATGGCGCGTCGAGTGATCGTTGAAAGAATCTTTCGCTCGTACGAAAGACAGCGAACAATGACTAAAATCCTCGGGACTGGGGAATGGAATCGACGCAACGTAGGTGGCCGGAGGTCGATTAATTCTTATTGTCACGGTCAGACGGGCCCGGAGAAAAATATAACATGGCTGGACGGTCGTCTGGTCTGTGCTCGTCGGAACGGAGACTGGCTATCAGCAGTTCCGCTCGAGAGAGGACAATTGGGCCGAGTAGTCGTCCGTTCGAGCCGTTTCGATCCAATCGGATTTGTACAAGGTGGCCGTTTAGAAACGTATCTTATTAAAGGATATTCCCTCCTATCTTACCTCCTGTATATAGAAATTTATTTGCGAGAAACTTTATATAAATCGAACGTGCAATCGTAGCTCGGAGTCCTCTTCTGTTTCGCTACATAGTCGATAAAAAAAAAGAATTTGTCAGAACGTCGACAAGGCATCTTTGAGGTTCTAATTAGAGCGTATGCCCCAGAGCGAGCGATCGAAGCAAGTGTAAGGCTCGATTGTACTCCGCACCGTGCAAGGATCCCTCGACGACGCGAGTCTGGATTGAGAGGAAATTAATTAAGATGGCACTGTCCGGGATCACCCCTTTTCGCACCCCCGATCTACAGACTCGCGCAGGAGCATTCCATGCATAGCTTGCGGCTACATCTCAGGCTACTACATCACCAAATCCGTCCCTTCCTGGTACCCTTTACAGGAGCTCCAGGACCATTCCCTCGGTACCGGTTCCTGTACTCGATACATACTCAGTGTTCTCCCATCCACGCACACGATTCCACCGAAACCACCTACAACGCACTTCAATAACTATGAAACCCACTCTTCGATAGAAGGTTAGAAAATGGAAACCTGTCGATGACGTGGGAAAAGATTTAAGCCCTAAAACGAGTCGAGTTTTCGAAGGTTATCGCGACCAATCCCTTTAAGTAATTTTAAATTCGACGTTCTAGAACAGTATCCGCCTTTCAGTCTTTTTCGCGATACAGAAAATGTTTATCGCGGATAAACGTCCGAGCGAAAGTTATAGGCACGGAGAGGTCGTAGCCGAGCGAACCGAAGAAATCGTCAAGTTGAAATCCCCCATTGGGTCGAGCCCATCGCAGAAAATTTTAATTGGCATCATTAGACTCCGGCGAATAATTAGCGCTTGAACGATCGGAGGTTTAATGGCGGGGCCGGGAATACGGTCTTTAGGGTCTTTTCACGGCTCGACTCCGCATTATGAGTCGCTGCCGCGGATACGTTTGCCCCACCGAACTCGGGATTGACGAACTTCCAGCATTGCTTATTAATATAGAACGTCCGAAAAGTTTTCCAACTAATGGCTCGGAACTCGAACGTTTCCTGGCCCGTGAAATCGCCGGCCGTTCGAAGTATCAGCGCGTTAAACGTCGCGGGGGCGTAAACCTT